ACAACAACCAGAAACAGCTGATCACATGGGGATCCCACACGAGGTTAACGAGGGGGGCGTGGCACACAGAAGGAGCGGACGATCGGGGCAGGACAGGAGTAATGTTGGGATAAGATCTTTATCGCTTTGGAAGCCATTACGAAAAAAATGCTCTTCTTGTTTTATCCTGTTCGTTTTGTGTTTAAATGCTAAAAAAAAAAAAAAAACATATTTAGATGTAATTTTGGGGGGGCCGGGTTTTTCATTATTTCTTATGGGAAAAATTCGATCAGAACTCGAACTTTTTAGGATTCAATCCAAAGTCCGGAACGGATTAAGTTCGAGAACCGAGGTACCACTGTATTTTTAATAATGAGTGTTCCTCTAACAGGCAATCAGAAAATTATGAAGTGAGAAGTGAGGTGTCACAAAATGAATAGTACTGAATAGGGTGCATGCTGTTCCCAGTTTTGTTTAAGATATTGTGTTTTGTGTATTGTAAAGGTAATATGGTAACACCTTACTTGAGGGGCACGTAAATGTAGTCGTACACTTTTACTTAATGTGTTAATTAGCCAGAAACTAAGTGTTAGTTACATAATGATCCCATGTTTGTTCATCATTAACCAATCATAAAATTTGTTCATGATTTGTACTTTAGTAGAAATTGGGTTTCTTATTTACTTGCACCCTCAAAGGTAAAGTGTTACCAGCAATTTCTCTTCAAAAACTTATTTTCACTCTTATAAATAGTTTATGGTGTGGTTTACAGTCATCGCAGTAACCAAAATGCAGACTGTTTGTTGCCATTAATTCTAAAGGAGAATTTGTCACTCTATCTAGCATTAAAACTACCCCATGGCAAGATAACAGTGATGCATCTAGTGGCCAGAGAGACGCTGCCAGAGCCAAACTCCCAAGGTAACTGCAGGAAGATTACATTTTTTTTTTCTTTACATGGTTGTTTGTAAACTGTGTAATAGTGTAGTGCACATGCAGAATTGGGGAAACAGCTATTTTGTTGCCTACGACAGGCTACTTTTATGTTTTTATGCTTGTTTCAGTACAATTAACAATTAAGATGGGCTTGATGCAATTAAAGTCTGTAAACACTCAAACATTACTTGTGAATTGCGTGTTTATGTGAAATGCCTACAAAAGATCAGTTGAATGTAAGTTGCTCATTAAACCAGTTTTGTTTCTGTGTTGGTTTTCAAGATGGTTGCTATGTCTGTGATTTATTCCTTTTTTAATCTGCAGGTCAAAGGAATCGTGAGAAGACTAGAGAAAGCAACTGCTGTGTAATCCTGTGAACATTCCCAGCCTCGTCTGCCACCTGGGGTGGAACACAGTCTGTCTTTCATGCTACTGAAGTAGATGCCTGGGAGGCCCTAGAGAGTGCACAAAAATTATTTTGCTGGGGGCCACGGGAGAAATCAGGGAGGTGAATGTGATGTGGTTAATTTCAAATGTGTGTTTCAGACTTTAGTCTCCCTCCTCATCCATTTATTCTGGAAGCACAAACAGATGCACTCAAGCATTCAGACTGACTCTGGTGGTCCAGTTTGGCTGCCCATGGCAGAGATTCACTTCCTCTGTTCTGTAAAATTTACAGTATCTGGCTGCCCCTAGCTCCACCTAGAGACAGTTCTGAAAACTGGAAGCAGTGGTACAGACTATAAAGTTGTAAAGGCTGATTTATACTTGATTTATACAGCATAGAATATACTTCATTGGCAGCCCTGTACCGACACCATACCTATGCCATACTAACAGCATAGATTTTGCACAAAAGTATAAATCAGCCTTAAGGGTTAGCATGCACCCATAGGGATGCAATATGAAGGGATGCAGGTGGGTGTTATACATCCAGAACATCATATGTGTGCACAATTTAACCACTAAAAAACACTAAACTTGTTATTCAGGACTGTTTCAAACAGTATGTGACTAAACTTTTATTGTGCCTCTAATCTGAATTCAATCTGCAAGGCAACTGACAAATATGTATGCTGTTTTTCTCGGGAAGATGAGTTTCCTATATTTATGTGTAGATCATAGGAAAATTGACAAACTATGGAGTTAATTTCCTAGCCTTAGATTTTATTAAATCACTGGGTTCTTTTATTAACCGACAAAGACCATCAACATGTTATTCTGTGGTTCTTTTTTTATTTTGAATTGTCTTAGTATTTGTCTTAACCTTTCACTTCTATGTGTCAATTTGCACAGCTGTGTTGAAGCATGAATTATTTCATATAAAGCTGAAAAAAGGATTTTGTTTTTAACGTTTTCCTGTAGGAGTTAATTTGGAAACTAGGGATATATGTGTACAATATCTTTAATGTTAATCTTATACAAAAAATATGCTCATACATGGATATTACTTGGATATAGTGATGTTCAGTGTAATATAGTTTATATAATTACTAGTAGCAGTAGCAGCTGATCCCACCTCTTGATGACAATGCTATGTACCTTAAAACTAAATCCTAATTCAATTTATATGAAGTATTTTATCTGTATTTTTCTTTACCTTAAACTGGTCAGAAAACATTTAATATTATTAATATCACATTTCTGTGGTTATCGCTTTAATAAAATGCAATATAATGCAGTATTAGCTCGTTAAGAATATTGTTCATATTGATCAGTATTCAGAAGAGTTTTTTGATTGTATATAGCATTGCATTTTACTTCAAAATGAGTAGAATAAATCTTTAAACTAAATAAATAACAATGAATAATTGTTTGTGGGCATCTTCTGTGTTGCAATATGAAACTAAAACTTTTTTCTGTCTGATTTGCTTTTCCTGCTTCACAGAGTATAACACTGTCTTGTAGCTTTCAAGTGCAGCATGAATAAATGGCACACAGTGGGGAAAATCTTAAGCCAACAGCCCTAGGAGAGGTTTGCTGTGGAAATCCCCTCTGTTCCTGAGCAGGATACTTAACCTGTACTGCTTTGGTAAAAGGCACTTAAGGGACCAATTGAAATTCTAAGATAAACAATGCAAAATGAAAAGGCTGATAGTGCAGTTGGAGAATGAACCTCCTGAAATCCAAGGTCTGAACTAATTGCAGGGAAGCACAGTGGTAATACTGCACTGGGGGTCCACCTAATGCCAGGCAAAACAGCATGTTTAAATATTTAGCACAAAGGGAGGTGTATTTTTCTTGTTTAATTAAAACAAGATTTAAGATTATATTTTGTATGCTACTGATAAGGCAGCCTTTACAACATTCCAAGTCCCAACAGAGGCAATTACTTGATGCAGCTCTAGAATCAGTTTCAAGCAAACAAGAATATCAGTTATTGATACATTGCTCTGAATGTCAAGACCAAGCATCCTTGTTGGAACTACTCAATAAAAACTATTAGTACTACAGTTAATGTTTATGAGCCAGATTTATTTAGGTTACCTGGACATTGTTAAAAATTTAATTATCTTCAAATACACAGGGAAGTAAATCTACACAACGTATGTTTCAAAGATATATTTAGAGGTCAAGATAAGACGACATGTTGAAATGCCCGTTTAAAACTGTTAATATTCCTGCTCAGGCCCTGTGTTGGACACAGTTAAATGAAAAATGAATAATTAAAAACTATTTCCCATACTTGTGTGGATGCTACTAATGGGTTAGACTTTCGATACTAATGTATCAGTCAGTCATTGATGAGGCATCGATTCACACACCAAACAGCACCCCTAACCATATCAGTAGGTTAAGGCCATTTCAAAAGGATTTTAAGATCACCGGGTTATTAAAATACAACGACAAAATCATTTTGTAAAAGAGACTGAATGGGCGGAAAATTAATCAGCTCGGCAAACGCCTGGCACCACCTATAGTATGACTTTGTGACTATTATATGGTAGCGTACGCCAACCATCACGGGGAAAATTTCGTGACCTTTTTTTACAGTTTGAAAATCTATAAACATACTCCTCCAATTAAAAATTCTGTGTATTCGAAGACATTTACATATGAGACACACATTAATGCGGTTTCAATTTGAGAAATTTTCAGATCTTTTGACTCCATCTTGTGGTCAGAGGTATTCACTACGTATGCGTAAATTAAAAAATAAATATTCAGTAATATTTTACGTTATAGATGTCGTGCATATTTTTTTTATAAAAGTTTCTATTACTAAAAATCAGATGTGATCCGCAAGTTATACACTCACCTAAAGGATTATTAGGAACACCTGTTCAATTTCTCATTAATGCAATTATCTAATCAACCAATCACATGGCAGTTGCTTCNGTTCCTAATAATCCTTTAGGTGAGTGTATATTCATATCTCAAGTAGAGTCTAGAAGCCGAGACAGATTCCGGTAAATTGAGCAAGGTGGGTGGATTTTACCTTGCTACCAAGGTGAACCAGTAGAGCAGGAGAATTGTATTTGTTATAAGTTTGAGCTTGGTTTGTTGGTGTTTTGTGACCAATCAGGATTTAGAAGTCCTTATTGGGAATTGGGAGTAATGGTTTATCAACTGGTTGCTCTGTGTGCTGGGGTTGACTTGGTACCGAGTGCCAGAGTGTGATGGGAGCGCTTTGCTGGAATTGCTGGAATAAAAGAGATTTTCTTCACTCACCAAACTGAGAGGTCCAGACTTTTATTCTAAGTGACTCTCTGTGTTATCAGAAAAGTTGGTTTATAATTTTTCTACCACAGTTTGGCGCCCAACGGAAGCCGTCAGGCGGCAGGGAAGTCGTCACCCGCAGGGGGGCCAGTCATGACGGTGAATGCTTGGTGCATCAGGGGCAGAGGGCAGGGTGGTGTGTGCACTGCGTGGCGCGGCATTGTATGGTGAAGGCTGGACAGTGAAAGCATTGCATGCGGTAGCACAGCACTGCGTAACAGGCCAATGACGGGTAAGATTCCTGTGTGAGGACAGGAACAACCTAAGGGGCCGTTCACATATCGCGCCTAAAAACGCGAGGAAAACGCTAGGCGCGTCGCTTTCTCCTTCTTTCCAAAAGTGCCCGGGCGCTTGCGCTCCGGAAGTGTCTGTCGTTGCTAAGCAACCATCCGCCGCGCTCTCCATTAATTTCAAAAATGGATTTCCACCAACGAAAAACCCTTGCTGTGACTCTGCTACAAGATTTATTTACGCAGAAAAGAAAAAAACGCCGTAGTGTTTGGGTGCACCCCATTCTTCAAAAACGTAAAAAACACGGGGAATTTCACCAGCTGATCCAAGAGGTCCGCCTGGACAACGGGAGGTTCAAAGCCTATTTCAGATTTGACAAGGACCAGTTGGATTATATTTTAGGAAAAGTTGGCCCTAGCATCGGCAAACAGAGCTTCTGCCGTGAAATCATCTCTCCTGCACAACGGCTCTGCATTCATCTGAGGTAATTACCGTCATAACCAAAATGACAAATGATAAAGTTCAGGAAATCCCTGGACCACAATAATAAGCTGCTCGTCCATGTTTCTGCTGAGGCGTCAGTGTAACGTAAAAGGCGATGAAGCTAATTGGTTGAATCTTGTCACATGACTCGCGGTGCGCTTGCGGCATTTTGAAAAGTTGAGATGTTTCCAACTCGACCGCGTCGCGTCCGTTATGAGCGCGGCTGCCGCTCGTCTACATTTGAAATAATGGACTTGAGCGCGCAAAAGACGCGATATGTGAACGGCCCCTAAGACAGGTGCTGTAGACCCCTGGCACTGGGCTGAGGCACTGTTCGGGATTTGACCCACTCTCGGTCCCACGGGAGTATAAAGGTGTATGTCGATAGGGGTTGTGGTTTTTGGGGAATGTGTATGTGGTAAAGGGTGTGGGGTCTCCCAGGTGCAGTATCCTCAGTGGGATAAACAATACATGGAGTTGATTTTGCTCCACACTGTCGCATACAGGTGTCTACATTAAATGGAATAATGGAATTGCCCTGTGGACTAATATAGCACATAAGTGTCTGGGGAATCATGTGTTGGATCTGAGATATGATAGGATAAGCTTGTTAATTGTGCTTTTAGAACACCAAATATTTGGAATTACACTTGATTCTTTCGTCACCCAGTAACAAGGTGTCTTGTTTAGTTTAGTGACTACCCAGCAGCTACGTGCTTTGTACAGACGGCAGCTACCTTGAGAAGGGGAGTTTGTAGGATATCAGGGTCAGAACAGATATTTTATAGGTCCTGTGTTCAACACCATTCGTTAAAGGGTAAATAATGGGGAGTGCGTCAAGCAAACATTCGCACCCTCCCGAAAGGGACTCAGAGATCGAGGGGGAGATAATGAGGAAATGTAATAAAGGGGAAAAGGGGAAACCATCCCCAAGGCAGATAATGGAACGGGTGACAGGCCTGAGACTAAAGAAAGCTTGTAGAAATTGGAATCGTCAGACTGGGGGTAGATGGCCAAGGGCGGACACTTTAAACATACTGGAGCTAGAACGTTGTGAGACAATACTGGAAAGGAGGGGAAATGGTTGTTGTGGTAATGTACAAACCAGAATATTATTATCAGTGGAAGTTTGTGGCCTTGGTGAGAGCTCGGAGGGGGTGGCAGACTAGAGTGGAGCAGCTGAGAGGTAAGTTTAGCAGAGAGGAAAGGGGGGCCGATCTGACTGCTGCTGTTTCTTTGTTTGAGGCTGATGCTTATGCTGAGAAGAGGAAAAAGCCTAATTCAGATATCCGGTCCTGCCTGAAGTGTCTCCTCCTCCACCACCGCCACCTGTACCTCGTCCTCCTGCCTATGTCCCTCCTCCTTTGAGGAGAACTGAACCTTCTGTCTCTGATGCTGAAGAAGGGGGGCCAGTGGGACTGATGCCACAGCATTCTGTGAAACAAGGAAGAGTTTCTCCATGGCGAGGATGAAGGTGGAAATGGGGGAAGACAGCTTCACAGTGACCTCAGAGGATTTGGGACTGTTTTGCTTATCGGAGAAAGAAAACTTTGCTGCTTGGTGGCTAGTGGATGACACAATACTGAGAGACTGTATCCCTGAAGGACAAGAACAGCCTGACAGATTGCATTGCACTGCTCAGTTTTCTGGAAAAGAAGGGGCAGAGTGGATAAAGGATTTTGAGGGTGCAGGAAAACTGAGAGAGACTGTTGTGCTTGATTACCTCTATGTGGCAGAAGACAGGTCTGCTGCATCTGTCTATTTGTCGGCCAGCCAGGAGCAGTGGTATGTGGGAGGTTTGGTCCCCCATGTATCATATGGGAAAATAGGGTCATTAGAATGGAAGGATTTAGGACCCTGGGTCGCAGAGTCTGAGAAAGTGAGTGAGTGGTGTAGGTACAGAGAAAGAGGGATGCAGAAGGAGATAAGGAGAAAGGTGTTGATCCTCTGCCAGACTGGTTAGGGGAGGTACCAGATTGCTTGTGGGCAAAAGGGAAAAATGATGTTGGCCGAGTGGTGTCAGCTGAGTCTTTGGTGGTCCACCCCAAGTCTGACTTTCGGCCTCACAAGGCCCAATATCCCTTATCTAGAGAAGCAGAGGAGGGAGTGAGAGAAGTACATGCAGATCTGGTGAAAAGGGGAGCTATTAAGGAAATAGCCTATTCTCCAGTTAATATCATACCTGTGAAAAAGGCAAATGGTACTTGGGAGGAGGCCCCAGGAAAGACCCAGGACACGCTGGAGGGACTATGTCTCTCGGCTGGCCTGGGAACGCCTCGGGATTCCCCCAGAGAAGCTGGATGAAGTGGCCGGGGAGAGGGAAGTCTGGGTTTCCCTGCTGAGACTGCTGCCCCCGTGACTCGACCTCGGATAAGCGGGAGAAAATGGATGGATGGATGGATGGATGGTACTTGGAGGTTTGTACAAGATTTGAGGGGTGTCAATGCAGCCATACACCCCAGAGCTCCAGCCTTCCATACCAGCGGAGGCTAAATGGTTCTCTATCATTGACTTGGCTAATGCTTTCTTTTCTATCCCAGTAGATCCAGATTCCTAGTACTGGTTCGCCTTCACCTTTCAGAGGAAGAGGTGGACCTGGACAGTGATGCCCCAGGGCTACACAGAGGCACCTAGTGTGTATGGGCAGGACCTGGGAAAAAATTTGGAGGGGTTTACTGCGCCTGGGGGCAGCACACTGGTACAAAATGTGGATGATTTGCTGCTTTGCTCTCACACTCGTGAGTCCTGTAAACAGGACACCATAGCTATGTTACGCTTCCTGGCAAAAAATGGACACAAAGCCTACAAAGAAAAGCTGCAGCTGGTGTCACAAAGGGTTAAATACCTTGGACATGTATTGACAAGCGAGGGAAGGTCATTAGGACCAGAACGAGTGGCCTCCATACAGGAGATGCCCAGACCAGAGACTAAACAGCAATTGCTTTCAGTCCTAGGCATGATTGGCTATTGCAGGCCTTGGATTCAGGACTATGCGCAGATGTCATAGCCCTTGGTTGATTTGACAATTGGGTTAGGGCTGACAGACAGACTGACGTGGACGCCCGAAGCTGAAGATGCCCTGATTGATTTAAAACAGGCGTTAATGTCAGCCCCAGCTTTGGGGGTGCCAGACTATAGAAAGCCATTTGTGCAGTATGTGGATGAACAAAAAAGGGTTCATGACTTCAGTTCTAACTCAGTATCATGGGGTTGCATACTACTCAAAGCGCTTGGACTCGGTGGCTCGAGCATTACCCCCCTGTCTTTGATCGGTGGCTGCAGCAGCTGAGGCAGTGATAGCGAGTGCAGATCTAGTCCAGTTGCATCCACTGAAACTTCGAGTTCCCTATGCGGTGCACGCGATCCTGACACAGGCCTGATGCCTGCGTGATCGGTGCATTATCAGAATGTTTGCTAACACTGACAAATGTGACTGTGGAAAGATGCTCTGCTTTGAATCCAGTGACCCTCCTTCCCACTAGGGTGGACGGGGAACCGCATGATTGTTTGCAGGTCATTGACTGTGTGTGCAGACCTAGGCCGGATCTGACTGACATCCCACTGGAAGGAGGCAACATCCTATTTGTCGATGGGAGTTCTTTGAGGCTGGAGGATGGATCACCAGCGACCTCCTATGCCGTGGTGCTGAAAGATGGATCACTTGTGGATGCCCAGACATTGGTCCGCACAGGCGGCTGAGCTGTTTGCACTGCAACAGGCCTTCAAATTGGCTGAAGGACAGAAAGTCACTATATACACAGACTCAAGATATACCTTCGGGGTGTGTCACGATCATGGTGCATTGTGGAAGCAGAGAGGTTTTCGCACCAGCACTGGAAAACCCATTCAGCATCATCAATTGCTGGACGCTATCATGCTACCCAAACATGGGTACAACATGGGCTACAACAGCAGAAGACCCCACCGGGGTCAAATAGGAAAAAGAGGCTACAATTTGCACAAGCTCACCAAAATTGGACAGTTGAAGACTGGAAAAATGTTGCCTGGTCTGATGAGTCTCGATTTCTGTTGAGACATTCAAATG